GCGGTTGGGACCAAGAAGAGGACGGCGCCCGGTAACCTGTGGCAACAACCCAGGGTAGGGCAGGAAGCCGTTCCGGTATCCTGGAATCGCACGATGGAGAGGACCTGTTGTGGAGGCTGGGATGGACGGAGCTCGGTAACTCGGTGCAGCAGCACGAGGAGAGCAGGAAACCGTCCAGTCAGCGGCTTCCCTAGTTAGCAAGCTGCCTCCCTGATTGTCGGGACGACAATCTGAAGAAAGGGGTCAGTGTTGCGTGCATGCCGCCCGGTATACCTTTCCGACACCGAGCTGAAGCGTGCAACGGAAAGTCGAATGTAGCCTGTCCTTAGTAACGAGCCAGTTATTGATTTTATTGATTTAATGAAACAGCTGATAGATTTGTTCTCGAGCTGCTGGACCGTGCGGACGTGGTCCACGCTCCTCTGTATCGCGAGCCTTTAATAAACCTTAAGTTTGTTCATCACCGCAGTGTTTACTTATTTCCGTGAGCGTCAGGAGTGTGAGCGTGTGTGAGTGAACGAACGACTCGGCGAGCGCAACAATATATATAAATGATTAGATATAATTATATATTTTTGGATATGTTATGGATAGATCAGTATGTACGGTGGATACCATCAAAGTGTGATTGTTGATCAGTTCGATACGCGCGTATTCAGAGGCGCGCGGTCGACAGACGTGAACCACGCGTGATCAATGCGTGTCTTACTACGGTGGTAATTAATACCACCGTTCTCTTCCGCTCAGCAGAGCGGGTCTGGCTTTCGACCGGAGCGGACGCGACCGATTCCACAGCGATAAAGTTTTGTAAGAACGTCAGAAATAAAGTGAGCTATACTTAATGTAAACCGGAAGAACCGAGAGTGTATCTTTTTCCATCTAACGCGACGAGGATCCAAACGAAGAGGGTACGCCCGAAAGAAGATTGCAGATGAGTACGGAACCCAAGATTGCAGAAGCACGAGTACATGCCACGTTCCACATCGAGCCGTTTGATTCTAGACAAGCTGGTCACGCTGGTTAAGCCGATTACAAGGCGCGTTCAGACTTTTTCACGTGCCAGTTGAACACAAGGTATCGTACCTATTACATTATATCGGGCCCGCAGCTTTTGATGTAATTTGCAATAAATGCGCACCAGACGATCCTTACGAACAAAATTACGATGAATTAGTCGCAAAACTACAAGAATTCTACGCTCCGACCCCGCTGGAAATTGCAGAAAATTTTCGTTTCCAACAACGACGACAGTTGGAAGAAAAAAGCATATTACAATACGTGGCGGCATTACAAAAACTAAGCATTAATTGCAATTTTGGCCCATATCTCAAACCAGCGTTACGTAATCAGTTCGTTTTTGGCATGAAGAGTACGAGAATCCAGTCAAGACTCCTTGAGTGCCGAGACTTAACGTTCGACAAAGCAGTACAACTTGCAACAAGTATGGAAATGTCAGCAAAAGACACAGACCAATTACAAGGCACGACGACAGCGCTGGTACAAGTTGCAGATTCCAAGAAGCCTCCGGGACGGAAACCGACTTCACGAGACAGCTATCCGAAGAAGACGACCGATGCGACACGCCATTCGACAGCGACCGCGAAGAATAATACATCTCGTAATACACAAAATAGTAAAAATGTTCATTGTTACAGGTGCGGAAAAGGGCATTTAGCTACACATTGTACACTAAACCGAGAGATAAAATGCAGGGCTTGCGGAAATCGAGGGCATCTCCAATCGGTCTGTTTCAAAAATAAAAGTCAAACTCATCAATTAGAGGAAATTCTTACCATGACATGCCGTGATAATATTCTACAAATAGAACAAGGTAAATTAGAGCAAGGTAAATACAGAGACAAATTCCTTACACGATTACAAGTAAACGGTAAAAGCGTAGATTTTGAAGTTGATAGTGGAGCAGCGGTAACTATTGCAAATATATCGCAGATGCGCAAATTGTTTCCAAATTCGACCATATATCCGACTAATTTACAACTAATTACATATTGTAAGAATACGCTACCAACTATGGGATACATTGCAGTTATAATAACATACCGAAATGTACAGCATAAATTAAATATATATCTTACAGAAGTAGAAAGAAAACCCTTGTTGGGCCGCGAATGGTTACGTCAGTTAATGGATGATACTGTACTCAAAGAGATTACACTAAATTCTCATTCAGAAGAAGCATTAAATGTAAACGCAAAACAACAACTAGATACTAGCTTACAAAAATACAAAGAAATTTTCGAAACAAATCTTCGTTCGATTAAGGATAAAAAAGCGCGATTAACTTTAAAGAAAGATGCGCAGCCAGTTTTTCTAAAACACCGTACCATACCTTTTAAATTACATGCTTTAGTAGATAAAGAGATTGAAAATCTAGAAGCCGCAGAGATCTTAGTCAAAGTTAACACTTCGGAATGGGCTACACCCATCGTGCCAGTTTTAAAAAAGGATGGCAAGGTTAGACTTTGTGGCGATTACAGCATTACTGTAAACCCAAATTTAATAGTGGACGACCATCCATTACCCACAGTTGATGAGCTGTTTGCGTCAACAGCTGGGGGAACTATTTTTTCAAAAATAGATTTACAACAGGTTTATTTACAACTGCGAGTAAGGGAGGAAGATCAACACATTTTGACACTAAATACACATCGAGGTTTATACAGACCTACGTGACTAATGTACGGAACAGCTTCTGCGCCAGCTATCTGGCAACGCGAAATAGAAAGTATCTTACAAGGTATAGAGGGAGTTTCAGTTTTTCTTGATAATATAAGAGTTTCAGGTAAAGACAAAGCAGAACACTTACACAGACTAGAATTAGTATTTCGGAAATTACACGCATACAATATTAAAGTTAACTTACAGAAAAGCGAGTTTTTTACAGATAAGATTGAATACTGCGGGTACAATATAGATCGTTACGGAATACATAAGGATAAAAAGAAAATAGACGTGATAGAGCTTATGCCAGTTCCTAAATACGTACCGGAAGTTAGGGCATTTATAGGATTTGTAACTTATTACAGTCGATTTATTAAAAATTTTAGTTCAATCCTATATCCATTGAACAAATTACTACATAAAAACAGTAAATTTTGTTGGACGCAGGAATGCGATATTGCTTTTCGTAATGCAAAGAAAGCTTTTCAAAGTAATGAACAAATAGTGGAAGCTTTACAAAGCGGTAAAAGAATGGATAAAAAGTACAGATCATGCAATAACGAAGTAGAATACAGCTTACCCCAAGGAGTTATTTTACGCGGACATCGAATAATAATACCTAAAGTATTACAAAGAAAAATATTAAACAAATTACATAGTGTACATTTCGGTATCGTTAAAATGAAAATGTTAGCACGTGGCTATATATGGTGGTCGAGTATAGACCGCGACATCGAACAAATTACTAAGAATTGCGCTGAATGTAATGCAAATAGGAATAATCCACCGAAAATCAAACATATTTGGGAACCTGTGACGTTTCCTTTCGAGCGAGTACATATTGATTTCGCGGGGCCATTCATGAATCATAATTTTCTAATAGTAGTAGACGCGTTTTCCAAATGACCGGAAGTATACATTGTAAATAATATTACAGCGGACACTACAATAAAGAAATGTCGAGAGATTTTTTCAAGGTTTGGACTACCAGTACAAATAATATCGGATAATGGACGTACTTTTGTATCAGCAGAGTTTCAGAAGTTTCTACAACAAAATGGCATAAAACATAAAGTAACAGTACCTTACAATCCAGCTACAAATGGACAGGCGGAACGCTTCGTGCAAACCATTAAAAAATCTCTTTTAAACCTCAATA